TTAGACATAGGCGAAAAATTATCAAATCTTACTGGACAAAGTCAGGATTTTTGCGAAAATACTCGTTACTATAGTAAGATTGCGAAACAAAACGCTGGCTGTTATGAAATAAGAACGCTGATTGGTCGGTCAGCGCGTTCAATAAGAGATCGTCTCTGATTGGTTGACGTCTTAAATGTTTTTTCGTCGTCTTAAACGACCAGTTTCATCCAATTTATGGATTACACCCTAAAATTAGATCATTTTTTTTTACTACGACTGAGATGTCCTATTGTCTGTAGAAAACAACATACATACTAAAATTTTCAATAAAAGGTTTATAAAAATCAATTTAGTGATTTTTCTTTCTCACCTATTCGAAACCTTCATAACTCTATGATACAATACTTGAAGTTAATCATCGGCAAACTAGGAACCAATTAGAAGTCAGCCAGCAAAATTGTAGCCAATCAGTATTGAGCACATCAAATCTTACTATAGTAACGAGTATTTTCGCAAAAATCCTGACTTTGTCCAGTAAGATTTGATAATTTTTCGCCTATGTCTAATTATCCGCGTTTTCGCAAAACCCCTAGGATTTCCGCGAAGATTCGAAGTATCAAATTATCCTACGACATATATAAAAGAAAGTCGTGTTAGTTACACCACTTATAACTCAAGAATGGCAGAATAGATTTGGCTGAAAATTGATAGGGAGGTAGCTTAGAGCCAGGAGACCGACATAGGATACTTTTTAACCAAAATTTTTTTTTTTACTTTTTACCGAAAATCACGAACGGGGACGGGAAAAAATGGGATTACGCGTACGAAATCGCGGGCAGAAGCTAGTATAAAATAGTTATAACTTTTGTCTGTAAATATTGGTGATTTACAAAATATTGCAGATGTATAATTATATGGTCAATTTATACAAGGATTATTCACATAGTTTTATAAGTAAATTCATGTAAACTGCCAGACTAAACCAACCCAACGAGTGCAATGTTTGTAGCAAAAGTAATCATAGAATATGATTTCTCATCGAAGCCCAAGCTCAGACGGGCTATCCATTTATTACAATACTGTATTACTATACATAACAAGACGAGTTTTTTTATTTTATTTACTAATAGGTACGTGATTTCACTCACGTAATCATTGAAATAGACATTTATGTTTCTTTGGAATGTCTAGTGGTTTCAAAGCTACGTCTTTGTATCTCAAAAACGGCTTCATGTTTTTTGACGCGCGATAATAAAGATTGTCTCTCTATACGTAATAGGTAAGTTTAATACTTTGACTCAATGCACGTAATTGACGTAATTAATTAATTTACACAATTTTTTACACCCTTCATTTTTAAAGTTTAAAAAGTAATTAGTCTCCTTTTCAAAACTGCGTCATCATTTTTGTATCTACCTATTGTCTACCTAATGTAAAATTGTATTCTAAGTTTTGTCTATTTACAACTATAGATTCATTCGGGACGGCATTCGGAAAATCAAGTTACTTTATTAAAATATACCTAATCGAAAAGTACTTAAGCACCTACTTACCTACATTTGTTATCTGAGCCATAGCAGTTTCTCTGATATATAGGAAGTTTTTAAACAAACACTATTTATGTTAAATGAAGATCTAGTAGAAGAAAAAACATACAATAGAAACTATATTACGGAATACCTACCTAACTAACTAAGCTGGGTAAAACATTGTATTTATTAAGTTCTATTATGTACCTATGTCTCAGGAAATACAGCGTGACTTAAAACAGGTAGGCATAATGTCACTAAAGTTCAATTTAAAATCAAAATACATACATTATATAAACTAAAGTACCAAAAATAAAAAAAAAATTGTAACAAACTCTGAACTTTGATTATATAGGTAATGTCTAGACAGAGTGTCACCATACAATAGCAACAAAAATGATTTTTCATCAAAAAATATAACCAAATCGATTCGGTCATTTCAAAATCATTGTTGAACATCGAAACGAGTCTTCTTATTTTAGTCGGTTAGAATAAATAGTACATTAAGGGCTGATTTTTCAATCATCAGTTAAATCTTAACTGTAGAATAAAATTGACATAGGTACATATTATATTTTAGTATGGAAGACTTGCCAAATATTCAAAGTTATACCTCAGTTAAAATTTATCTCGTGTTGGAAAAATCGGCTGTGAAGCGTAGGTAAGTTCAATAAATAATAAAATTATTATTTTATAAGTGCCTGCACGTACTGACGCCTAAGTGATTGGTATTACTCAAAGAGTATTATAATAAGTATAGTTGACCGGAAAGTGCATTACAGTGAACACTGCAAATTTTCGAAACGCTTTTTGTGAACTGTAACTTCACCTAGGCATTACGTAACTAAAAATTTAAATCTATTCGTGTTCCATCTTAAAAACTTTGCAATCGATAACAGCGCTCCTAGCGGAAAATATTGTAAGCACGAAACTTTGAGAACGCGTACGTATGTACGTAGTCCTCAGTCCTCAGAGCATGCTGATTACCACCGAAAAAGGCCTACTTTTTGAAGCTGATTGCGGATTTCTAATTGTATCATACATAAGTACATACCTAGCGTGACAGTCAAAACAATCTTTCTTCTTAAAAGGCATTTAATTGAAAAGCAAAAAAAAATTAAGTTCTTTAAATTAAATTACTGACGAGGTTATCCGTGGACATTCCGTTTAAAAAAATCAATTATCTACCATCGATTATTGTCACTTATGAGTTAGAAGCTACTTCTTGTATTTCCTTTGAATTTTCTGAAATAAGTAATATTTTAAAATTAATCGAATTAATCTAACCATTCTAGAGTTCACCAAGACGCGCTTTGATTATACTTATGTCTAGATGGAGTGTCACGAAAAGCGGCCCAAAAATTTGCAGTGAACTGTTCACTGCAATGCACTTTTGCATTACCCTATATCTTACTATACTCTTTGCTTTGCATGCTATGTTCCTTTTGTTCGTCATTTACAATTTTTGTAAAACAAATCACATTTCATCAGTGTTGCCAATTTATTTTTCAATATTCCCTTCTCATGGGTCTCGTAAAGAAGGAAAAATTTACCAAAAATCTTACTTGCAAATTAAAAATAAAATAATACTTTTATACATGCTGTACATGTACCCAAATATTAATGGGAGATATAAATTTGATGGGAGAATTTTTGTCGTAACTGGTATCATTTTTGCTCCGTGTAAACCAAAAACTGCACGCATACGTGCAAGAAATTTTGAAACGTAATTTTTGTTACTATTGTATGGTGACTATAATTAGACATTATAATATAATCAAAGGTAACGCGTAGCTATCCATTTTAATATTTTTAAAGTATTCATTCCGATTATAATTCCGCTATCAAGAAATAACGTTGTCAAAGTCTAGTTTGACATTGCTAATGATATAATGATAATAGAGTCAACGTCAACAAGTATTGTCTTTGGTCAACGAAGGAAACGCTTGTTCGCCTCTAGCGGCAGCTACACAAACTAACAGAAAAGGTACTAATAGGATATTTAGTAAAACTTTAAAATGGGATATCTAAATATTGTAAAAGATATAAGGTTATACTTTCTAAACTAAATAGTATTTTTCAATTTACGGCCACTTAAAATACTTCTTTCCTTAGAAATTTTGGCTGCGCAAAAAGTAATGTATTGTAGTCAAGGACGAAATGATTGAAGCACCAAAATATCAGTGGCGTAATTATGTGTGCGTGTACATGCAATACCGATAGGAAGTGTAATGACGGGCCATGTCACGCAACTGATGTCCTTCGTGTCAATGTATGTGTATTCTGCGTGGACGTAAAGTAACCTTGTTTAAATATGAAACCAATGAAGAAAACGCTATTAGCATCGTGCTAAATTTAAACGTGCACTTCACAATTTTCTTGGGTTTTAAAATATGTGTAATAATTTATTTACTTTACACTTTACAATAGCATCGATAGTCCCCATAACATTGGATATTTTCTATGCGTATACATTCAATTTAATTTTTAACTTTTAACAAATAAAATGACGCGCTATTGGATACCAAAATGCTGTAAACTTAGAATACATCATATTCTTTAACATAAAAAAATCACCAGATTTGGTTGAAAAGTCGTCGGGAAAATAATTATTTCTTGTAATATAATAATGAAAAAACTAGTCAATATACATATTCTTAAGTCATAAACAAACTTTTTATATTTATATACCAATCCTAATATTAAATAATTGACACATGATTAATATTGTTCTGGAATTGGAACATCAACAAAAATATTTTAAGTGGTAATTTCATCTTTGAATCATCATCATTAGAGCACACTGCACAATTAAAGTGTTGATCGAATAATTTCAACCTGAAATATTTTCATTGAAATTTACAATAAATTATTGCTTTAAATGTTCCAACCCAAAAAATTAAATTATTGTTTAAGGAATATAAAGAGTGAACAAGTTGAATGGGTGAAATATTATCAAAAACAATTGCCTTCAACTGGCGGATCGATAACTGAAAGACAAACAGAAAAAACGGGATATGTTTTTACGTGGTAAGTTCATTGTTGGAATACATAATGCGAAATTATTAATCTATTGATATTCGACGTTAAAGCCCCACCATCTATGCTGGCGCCATCTGGTTTTAGCTATCACCGGCCAACCCCAATAACCAATTACAATAATTTGAAATTAAATGTAGATAATATGAAGCATTTGCATTGTAATATCTAAATTAAATGTCCTTGTATAAATCTTTTAATTAATAACTTAGCCTGTCAAAAACGAAAATGACTGATTATTATAAAATCGACTAAAATCTAATCGATTACTCTAGAATGTCTCTGGTCAAATTCATTTTATCTGTGGGCTGACTGGACTGCACTAGTTGCAACGCAGCACGAAACGAAGCAGGTTAAAAAAAATAGTGTCTGTCAAACGAACCTGTCTAGAGCAAATTTGTGTGATTTTTGTAGTCTTGCTGTATGTTTGTACTCAAAATTATATAAATTATGCCGAAGAATAAAGGAAAAGGAGGTAAAAACAGGAGGAGAGGGAAGAACGAAAATGAGACAGAAAAACGTGAGCTGGTCTTCAAGGAAGATGGACAGGAGTACGCCCAAGTCACAAAGATGCTCGGTAATGGCCGCTTGGAGGCCATGTGCTTTGATGGCATAAAACGTCTTTGTCATATCCGAGGGAAGTTACGAAAAAAAGTTTGGATAAACCAAGGTGACATTATACTAATAGGGTTGCGAGATTACCAAGACGCGAAGGCTGATGTTATCTTGAAATATACTCCAGATGAAGCTAGGAATCTGAAGACGTATGGAGAGTTCCCAGAAACAGTTCGAATCAATGAGACAGTGGTCTATTCTGTGGATGGTCTGGATGAGGACATTGAATTTGGAGATGAGGTCAGTTCAGAAGATGAAGCTGATGCGGTAGATGCTATATAAAAATTAGCACTATTATGTATACAGTAAGTCTATGTAAATTTGTTTTGCTGTTATGAATAAACATGACTTTGTGATTTTATACATTTAGTTCTCAAAATTATTTCATATACATACCTACATTGTGAATAATGTCTAAATCCTTTAGACACTCAGTATTTCTTCATACCATATAAGTTTTTGTAATTCATTAGCATTGTAATATCTAAATTAATATGTCCTCATTGCAATAATTCTGTTAAATTGTCACCTAATGAAAATAATAGTTAAATTATTGTGCAACATTCCTTGAATTGATCCCATTCGTCGAGTCACAGATGAGAAATAAAAATAAGGAATGTACATACCTATCTATTAAATAATTATATCAACAACACTTTACTTCTATTATTTTATGCTTTCCTTAGTATATAGTGTCATACTTCTTTCACAATAGTAAAATGCATTCAAATCACTGTTTATAAATAAGATTATTTGTATTGATTCAAAATTTGGCACTGCAAGCAACTTTTGTGCCAGAAGATGAGCCATATGATTGTATATTATATAAAATTTAAACTTGACTCTATTTACTATGCAACTTGGTCTCAATATGTGTAGTACTAGGTAGTTAAAACATTCTCACATTCAGTGATTCATAATAATCTTGTCTTATGAATCAGTTTTTCAAAATATATCTCATGTTTATATTCTCGTACCAATGTATGTTAAAACTCCTTTCGCCATGAGATCAAATAACATTAAGATAATATTATATTCTGTTACCTTTATATATCTAATTTTACCTTGAGTTCATGTGAAAAACCTAGATTTATTAAATAATTTAACATAAACATTATACTCTTTTTAAATGGAAGCAGCCAATTCCTATTTCCTCAAAACACTGTTCTTAGAAATCAGTGGAAATGAAACCATGTGCTTTTGTAGAAGCAAGTTGATTTTGTTTTAATTTTGAATAATGAAAATAGTCATTCTGAGACAGAAATTGAACTAAAATAATACTGATATGGAAAACATTTACAATTATTGAAAATCATTACATTATAATTGTTTTTGCTATGATTATTAATCATTTGCTATACACATTTAGTTTAACCGCTTGAATGCACCGATATAAGAGAAAAGAAAATACATTGTGTCTTGTGTGGATCCACGTTTAGACACATGACGAGTTAACAAACAAAGAAAAGACTTTGTTGAGGTCATATCTTATGCAAATAATGACTGTTTAATTTGACCATTAGAACTAGACTGTATAGACCTCAAATTATTATATAAACCTATAATTTACACATTGACTAAATACAAATAACTGTAGTGTAGGTATAACTTAAAAACGAGAGAAGTAAGGTTTTGCATATCTCAAATGAATGTCTTTTATGATATATCTACAATAGTTTAACTTATACCAATTTACCAAAATTTTATCATTGATTTACATGGATCCAGGACTTTCTAAAATATTGTATTCATGGTATTTAATTTCATTGAAGCTGTAGCAGATATGCAATACAAACTTGAGATCTAAAAAGGTGAGCTAAGCTTTCTAAAAGGACAATTTTTGTGAACAGATAAATCTCTCATATGTTAATAACATGTTTAAAAAATTGTTAATATAACTATATTTTGTCTGAAATTATTATAATGTAATAACTAGCGAGCTAGTAAATATGGGTGCAGAGCTTTATCGTAAACTGGACAGAAGACATTGTTGCTGACAACATGCTGTCTGCTGTGGCTTTCTCTCAGCAAAAGATCTTTAGAAATGACATAATAAGTGCCTCGTTAGCCGAGTGGTCGCAAGTGCGACTATCGGGCATGGGGTCTCGGGTTCGATTTCAGGGTTGGGGAAAGTATTACTGGGTTTTTAAAAAAACATCTCAGTAGTAGCACTGAGTCTGGAATTGTGCCCGGTATATGGCAATAGGGTCACCCCCTATTACATGGGACTCAAACCATAAATAGTGAAAAGTGGGTGTTACATTATACAGTGGCATAATGTTCACCTCTGCCTATTCCTTCGGGACAAAGGGCGTGATGTTATATAAATGACATAATTTCCACTCTTAGAAAACTGTGGTATTTTTTTAAACAGCATGGCATATTTTTTCAGTAATATGGCCTTTTTTACACATGGATTGTCTCCTGTGTTGTGAAGATAGCTTACACATTTTTGACAACACCCTGATCTGGAACAAAAATAATCCACATGGAAATTGAGACCGTAACACATTGTACAATAGCCAGTTGCTCAGCCACTACGCTAATTGGGCAATGGAGGTATGGTGTGATAGGTTTAGGTAGGTATAATTATGAGAAAGATGGTTTGCATAAGAAATGGAGGATGGCGTAATGAACAATCGTACATATATAATATTATGTAGTTAAAATTATGGTATTGCGATGATTTGATTAAGTAGTCAGGCTGATTTTACGGATAGATAACATGTATAGGATTACTATATTATAATGTTTTTTTAAATGTTACTAGCTCGATGGTCAAGTGGTCGCAAGTGTGACTGTCAAGAAATGGGTCTTGGGTTCGAATATCCTATATTAGATGGGACCATAGGACTCGTAACACACTCGACAAGTGGTGAAAAGTGGGTATACGTGGAGTTGTTTGTGCCACTATGCTCTGCCTTTGCTAAAGGAGAATAGAAAGCGTGACGTTACAATAAAAAAGAAGTTACGAACGTAAGTATGTAACTAAGGTAACTTTTCTTTGTTAAATATTGTAGTAACGATTTATAGGTAGGTAGGCTAGTTTATTGAAGGATTACTCAAGAAACTTAATATTGATCCAGCTTTTTTATGGGAAAAGGCACACAAGGAGACTGATCACCAGATGGTAAACAATCGGCGCCGCCCATGGATACCCGCGACTCTAGAAGAGTAATAACTATGTTCCCGGTCTTTTGGGGTTTAGAGATAAGTACTGACTTTTCTGTGAATTTGTAGAAACCTCACTCACATAGAGAAACAACACAAGCGAGCGTTGTTTCATGTCGGTTTTCTAGAGGCCGTGGTATCACTATTGTCAAGACGGTCGTGCAGAATCATGGCTCAACGTACCAGCCTTTTGGGGGTTAGGAATTTGAGAAATTGGGGAGGGGACACTCACGAAACGAAACAATGCAAGCGTTCTTTCATCGGTTTTCTGTGAGGCCATCGTATCACTATTGGTCCAAAGCATGGCTCACCCACACTTATGTTGGATGTAGCAGACCACCTATTTTTCTACTTGCTTGTCTAAGGTTTTTAGGATGAAGTTTCATTCCCGTTTGCACGAACGCACATTTTGGATGTTTTAAATTAAAAACAGTATGAAACAACAGAGTGATCCGACAGAAGACCAACATGGGCGTAGCGAGGGGGAGGCAGGGGGGGCAGCTGCCCCCCCCCCCCCCCTAGCGGGCGGGCTTCTGGCGAGGGCTTAGTACGAGTTTCTTTTTCGACGAAACGACTTTTTCTTTTGAAACGAAACCTCGTCCGGCGCTCTGATTGGTTGGTTCATCGGAGCCGGCCAATCACAGCGCCGAACGCTTACTCGTTTCGATTACTTTCAACGTAAAAGAAACTCGTACTAAGCCCTCTGAGCGAACTTTATTTCACCTCTTTATAAAAATTTACTGAGCTAAGCTATGTCATACTCATAATTATGGTAATTATTGTTATCTTTCGCCTCACTAGCATAGTTTAGTGTTAATCTACGGTATAGTTGGGTGGCCACCTCTCGCGTCCGGGCATAGTGCGGGCCATGATGCGGAGCGAGGGGGACTGGGATGCCGTCTCCTCCTTGTGCGAAGCAGTCATGCTAGCTAAGAAGGAGGCGGGACGCGTGAGGCAGCAAAGCGCTGCCTCCTCGCAACCCAGCCATCGCGAAGGACACACCGGGCGTCGGGGGTCGCGGGACTATCTCCGGCCACCGTAAGCGCGGACCTGCGGACGGCGAGTATGTGTGGCTCCCCGGCCGACCAGAAACAGACCCGAGCGTACGGCGCGTCGCGTTCCGCGCGCGCCTCAAAGAGCCATCAGACCACCACAGATGGGGCCCAACAGGGATTCCGATTCGGAGTCGCGGACAATCTAACGGGTAACCGGGGCTCCGGCTCGACGTGCAGGAGAAGGAACGGGGTAGTTTTTAGTCAGTAAGAGTCTGACACTCCCTCCCGCCTCACCCAGGCGGGAGCAGTCATTCGATGATTTTCCCCCCATAAAAAAGAAAAAATATCGAACGCCGTAAATACGTACCTACACCTACTTATTTAGTGATATCTAACTACATCTCTGACGACGTCGACGTCAGAGGTGAACAAGTGATTAGTGAACGCAAATGGAATGGGTAGATGTTGTAAGGTTTTAAACGGTTAGTGGCCACTGGCCATGCAAGACTAATATCTAAAAATGTTTGGTTGACTGCACCTTTAATCAACATAATACCTTGGTTTGGTCCCCGGTCACCGGATCCATTTAGAGGGAAAGGGGAGGCAAAAATGCAATTTATTTGGTCGAAATATCAAAAACGAGACTTTTATATGAATTAGGCATGATTGGGTTGAGAATTTGAGATCGCTGTATAGTACTGGTTCGATTCGGTGAATCGATATTAAACGGAATTTGATTTATTTTTTGATTTTTTGTATAAATATAATTTTGACCCGTATTGTAAGAGTGCTGCCGGATAATAAAATTTAGTTATTTATTTTTATTTAATTTACTGTCGGATATTAGCAATTTCCAAAAAAACATCTAGAGAAATACGTAAAACTAAGTCTGTCACATGTCTATCATCAAAATAATGAATGACTGTGAATATTTAAAAGCTAGCTAAAAAGTCAAAATAATGTTTAGTACTCAGTTTTCTGGTATTTTTGACCGAGGAAACTACTGAATATTTTTATATAACTTCCGTTTTAGAGTCGTCCTTGTTCGTCATTAATTAAAAAATAAATAAATAGTTTAGTTTTCTTCAAATAAAAATTTAATAATTTCTTTAATTTTGAATAGTCTATGGTTTATCATCAGATGAAAATATGAACCATAGACATTTTTTTTGATGTTGCCATTTTGCTACTCTAGTTCATCAGCCATATTGAATTTTGTTGTGCTTCGAAAACATTGTGAGCACGTGGATTGTTGGATAAAATTTAGTGAAATTTGGTAGTAATATCAGTTAACGTATCTTTTCGGCTTGTTTTCATTATATCATTTAATAAGTGGGAACTTTCTTTCTTGGAAATTAATGTAAGTATCTATTATTTCTATTGTAGCCGGCGGCATGATTCCGCATTTGGATCACGGGGACTGTACCTACGCGAGTTCATAGGTTGAAATTTACTGTATAGATGCTAATTGATCATTAGGGGAAAATTAAAGCTGAAAATAATTATTTTCATCTCATTTTTTTGAAGATGTTGACACGATTATAATTGCGTAACCTTTCATTTATGGTTCCACATTTGCTTACGTGTTGCTTGTGAAGGTTTCTACATATTGCTCGTGACCCTCACCGGACAACATTTATAACTTGTGTTCCGAAAAAGATCGGTGGCACATGGTTTTGTAGGTATTATTAGCATTGCCCTGAAAGTAGTTTCAGAATAACTGTTATCTATAACGGAGATACCGTGCTCGCATCGGCAGCCCAAAGAAAATATAGTGCCCATGCTTTGCTCTACTTTTTTCTGTCTCTAACCCGGCTTTCTTATTGGACTGAATGGATTTGGAGTTTTTTAAATGTCGCGAATGTTATAAATTTGAGCTCAGTACTATTCATAGTAATACCAACTGCTTTTTACATTATTAGATAATAATAAATAAACACGAGGAAATAAATAACCTAATTATTTAAATACAAAAATGTTTTATCAGCCTACACCTAAACCCAGTTGATAAAAATAGCAGAGATAAAAATAAAAAATAAATATTTAGAACAACTTCAAATACCGGAATTATGTTTTTTAAATGTGTGCCAAAGCTGATTATTTGCACAAAGTCACATGTTGTGTACATTCTTTGTTTACATCTATTAGAACATGAACCAATATTACAACATAAGTGGAGGAGAATAAATTCATTACTGAAGATTAATAATATCATAAAGGTTACATGTATTTATTTATATTTACAAAAATTTTAATATTACATATTAATGAATTGATGAATTTATTTTACTAGTATTAAATTTTATTGCCATGTAATTTTTTTTATTTAATTATATTTTAATAATATCAAGGTCATTATCCAACTTAAAAATTTTGTATAATGCCAAAGTTCATGAACTCTATTCATGTTTTAATTAATCAATATTAAATAAAAAATTGACATTAAACTGTCAAACACCAAGCGGTCACCGGTGACCGCAACCTATTGTTCTTTAATTGTGTCTATAAATACAGTACTCGACGAGTTAATTAGGTGTGACATACATGACAAAATTTCTTGTTTGCAAAAAGTAATACTACCTACTTGCTTTTACATTTACTTGATTTTATCAGTAACAAATCTCTTTGTTTTAGATTGTTTATAAAAGTGGCTCATTACAATGGCCCCTTGTCGTCAGTTACTTATGTGGTCAGTCCCATCCATAGCAGTTTTATTGGGAATTTTTTGGTTCAGAAAAAAGCGAGAGTATGCAAAATCTGACCCTGGTGGAAGAGAAAGAATAAAAAGCTTAAAAGAGGAGCTTGCAGAGGCTTTGATTGCTCAAGCTGAAGCTCAAAAATCTTCTCCATTGGGCAAAGCAGAGCGATCTATTATTAAATCGGCCCCTATTGACATTATACCAAATGGAAGTAATTCCCAGAGGTCTTCCCCATTAGAGTTGACAGATGAAGAAGTTGATATTGAAATTGAGAAAATAATTAGGAAAAAATCTATTGAAAAGGAGAAACGAATGTCAGCTGGTTTTGACAAGTTTAACTCTATGAGTGTATACTCTAAAGAACCATCATTTCAAGTTAAACAAAAATCACCTAATAATGTGTGCTCTACAGTCCCAACTGTAGCCACTTGTTATAAAAGTAATGTAGATAATACCCCAGTAGTAATCAGGGCAGGCGATACAAATATTGTACATTCACAGGAAATGCCAGGAAACTCAGGAGACACTATTCTCCAGGAAGAAAGCTCAAAATTGGAAAAAGTAGTACCAGAGGTTGATACAACTGAAGACACCACTGTGGGTGACATGGAAGATTCAAATAATAATAATAATAATGTAAATGTAGTTGATGAACCTAGTGATAATACAGAAAGTGATAACAGATTTTCCACAACCCAACGTAGACACATCTCAGAAAGAGATTCTGCTAATCATAGTCCTGTGGATCCTATATTAGCTAGTCCATCAATGTGCCACTTCTCAGATAATCATAGCGAGGTAAGACCCTTTGTATATATTGTAATTTTAATAGACAACTAAGTGGCAACATAAAAATAGGAAGTATATTTGTAATTAGTAACTGATATAGTATGTAATGTGTTTATATTAATGATTTAACCATTAAAATGCAATTTCTGTCTTTCAGGGCTCAAGTGACAGTGGCAAAGGTTGCTCTGAAGCAGCCAGTCCTCCTCCTGCAACTCTTAATATGATTCCTTCTGAAACTGCTCTTAGAATACATCAATTTGTTATACCCCAAACTCTTGTAGGACTTTTAATAGGGAAACAGGGGTCCTTTGTAATCCAAATAAAAGCTAAAACTGGCGCAAGTGTATATGTTAGAAGACATCCTGACTCCATCAAATTAAAAATTTGTGCTGTTGAAGGTAAATTAATTGATATGTTGTTTTTACCTACCAAACATAATTTATCAGTTCTTACAAGGAGACAATTATTAACAGTAACATCTTTATTTTAGGAACTCAAAGTGAAATTGAAGCTGCTCTAGAAATGATCAAGGAAAAGTTCCCTGAAAAGAAATTCCCCAACTTTTCCTTGCAAGAAATTAGTGCAGAATTATATCAAAGGCTGGTACCACTAGTGCCAGAGTTTCTACAAGTAAGTTTAAGTTTGTTTATTTCTTTAATCATGCGTTTACATAACATGCTTTATCAGACTGACACATAAATATTGATAAATCTATGATATTGATATCACATTCTTAAACATATTTTATAGTATGAATTATGATACTATGGGAGTAAAAAAAATATAAAATACATTTGAGATGTATCTTCTACAAAACTATTGAATGTAATTTTAATATCTTATTGTATTTTGTATTGATGATTATTTATAGTGTGTTTATATTGTTTACTTTCAGCTTGTGGAATCCGTGAATAATGATACGATAATGACGTGTCTAGTGAGTGCAGGACACTTCTTCCTACAACAACCTCTTCACCCAACTTTCCCATCTCTACATGCACTACACCGTCTCATGGCTGCAACCTATCAGAACCCAGAAGTACCATCTCTACCAAGACCTGTTAAAGGTAAGTTAGAAGTGTAAACTAAATTACAATATTATTCTACAAATAACCCACCACAGCTTCGAGCAGATTCTATTTATGATTTTTCCAGTGAATATGTCAGTGTTTTCTTTCAAACATACCTTGATTTTGTCAATTGGTTCGCACTTTATGATTATTTTGCCTTTCACTGGGCACTTGTCGATTAAACGAAAACACGGGTAATCTCATAATGAATTGAGATATGTAATATTGTAGAGTCTTCCACTTTTATATTGCGCAACATAAGAGTCACAACAGGTCGTCGGTTAGCTACTGTAACGAATTGTGTTTATAATAATATGTCATCTCCTCTAGTCTAGCTGACTTACTCAGTGGTGCCTTTTAGTAAATGTTTGTTTTCAATTTTATCATAATACAGATTCCAATCTACATATAATTAAAATAGGCTCAAAATAAATAAAAGAAAGAATAAGATCACATAATTATTAAAAACAAAAATTTTCAGAGAGTTCAATCTGTGCTGCACCAACTGAAAATAACTGGTATCGCGCACAAGTGATATCAACATCAGAAGAGACTGACACGTCAGTCGTAAAATTGGTTGACTTCGGCGGCTATCTGACTGTGGACAATGATCAGCTTAAACAGATCCGCTCAGATTTTATGACATTACCTTTCCAAGCAACAGAAGCCTTACTTGCTTTTGTAAAACCAGCTAATAATGGTAAGTTCGTTAATACACTTAAAACTTTGTAGTAACAGAACTTTGTCTTGTTTTAAAATTGCTTATTGGTTGTTACTTGTTCAATTAATTGGTGAAAGTAGTACAATATCTCAATGCCACATTCTTTGTTTAAGGCATTTCTTAAAATAGTTAATAAGATATTTTGTATAACTGTCATCAGACAGTGAATGATCAATGAATTATCATTATATCAGTTAATTATAATTAAAAGAAGCAGTGTTATTTATTCATCTCTGATTTGTGAAATTGCTCTCCACATTTGCACAATAAAATCCAAATTCTTATGTTATTGTATAGATATTCATGCATATCATAAAAATATTTTAGAATTAGAGTGGAGTGGCGAGGCCCTTCGGATCATGGCTGGACTGACAGCAGGGCAGTTACTACATGCACAAGTTGCCGGCTATGATGAGACTGGCCTCCCTCTCGTACATCTCTACCTCACTCTACATCCTCAGGTGAGCCATTCTTTCTCAAGCTATAGATACAATTTTAATATATTTTGTTCAATATATACTATGAATACTATTATTTATTATTCCAGCAAGTAATATTCCTGAATAGAGAATTAGTGGACCGTGGCTTGGCGGAATGGGATATTCCTCCAGATTCGTGAGGTCGGCGCACTTAAACCGGCAATTCACGCCGCGCCAGGCGGCTTCACTACTTACGTGTTAAATACTGTAATGACGCTGATTAGTTTTATGGTATTGCATTTTATTTGACACAATGTACATAATTTTTACATTTGAGACTCAATCACTTGCTGGCTACTATAGAGAAAGGAGCTAGGTCTCTCATTGTGAGTTGTTTACTGTAGTCTCACGTTTTATTTATATGACTTGTGACACGTAGCTTATAAATTAATAAATGTTTCCCTTCTACTTCTTATTTCAGTTCTTAGTTATGTATAAGTTAATGATAGGTACGGTATTGACGCGTTCTTGTTTTCCTACTACTGTAATTTCTAAACAGCCTAGAATGATTCATATATTACTGATCTTATAAACTATTTGGTTAACTGAACTCCCGCGGCAGGAACATATAAAATACATTACGCTTATAAAAAGATTATAGAAATCGTAGTGTATGTGCTACAAGTGTTACGTAGATTAAATATTAAGCACATTCATATTGGATTAATATGTACCTTTGAAGGGTAACTGATTCTATATTTTTAAATATAAAATAGTGAAATTGTTGATTAAAGTTCAGGATGCTCATTATAACTGAAGATCTATTATTTTGCCTTGTGCAAATGTAGCAGTATTCATTAATGAAGCTTGGTATAAATCATTTCAATAATGATTTCGGCTATATGCCAAATAAATGTGCCTTTAAATTTCTGCAGCTAATATTTTCAATTATGTACTTACATGAAATATTATTTGTCACAAGTATAATGATTTATTGACCTCATTGATTCATTTAAATATTTAATTGGTTGTGACAAAATAGTATTTTGTGAATATTTCATGAAATGGTAAATCCAACTCCAATTATTTACTATTTGCGGAAGACTGAAAATGTATAGTTATGTACAGTTAATGCTATGTGTAAAATATGTGTAAAAAGTACAATATTGTGTGCCCGATTACTGGTATTTGAGGTTTGAGTTTACCTAATGATAATTTTTGTCCAATTCTTTGACAAGATGAATAGAATTGTGCAGTGAACTTATTAAAATTACAGCTTTGCCACAACTGAAGTAACATTCAGTAGGAAATATCATTACATTGAAAACACTGCAACTTCTAAACAGCTTGTTAAATAAATGTTTTGCTGTCAGTACGTGTATTTCTTTTCTTTCAGATGGCACTAAAGAATCGGCATTAGCATTCATGTTAAACCGAGGACTAAAGCTAATGAAGCTTTGTGGTAATTCTTTGAAATCGTTGACTTATAATGAGCACATTTATCATCCTGACATATTATAATATAGTTTTATCAGTGTACATAATAGATTTAGTGTGATAAAAGCAATTTGATATTTCATTGTTGTAGGTAGTGAATCCAGTATTTTAATACATAATATGTTGAGAAATAGCGTTGGTTTCTAGTGATATGTCGTGTATGAGTATGCGTATTATGTAGTAAATTTTTATATAGAGCCCTATCGAAAATATGTTAATGTTTATTTGCATGACTTTCTGTGAGAAGGTATTTAGATATGTAACGAATATGTTCTAAAGTTTATAAACTTAATATATATTGGTAAATATAATATATTTACTAAACATTAACACATTTACTTTTGGCTCTACTGTTTTTAAAGCTTTTCTGGGAAGTTTAGTATGATAACTTTTATCTCCATTTTACAGCTGCGAGTCTTCTGATTAGATTAGAATAGGATACCATGCTAAAAGCGGTATCCGGACAATCCTCTTCTTCCTTCTATTACTTTAGTTATGATGATCGATGATAGTAATCAGTTTGTGTACTTACTGATTATAAAACGGATGGTTTGCATTTTGTTTACGTCACTGTATATAACTAATATAATGCGGTTAATTTAATACATTGTTTTAAAAATTACTTTGTATTTTATTTCTCGATATTTCATAAATCGGTGTGTAATCATACGCTAGTTCATGTAGGACTGCGTTTCTTATTCATGGTACTCTAACGCAAGGAGCAAAGAGCAATTACAGCACAATTATACAGGTGACTTCTAACTCGACGAATTCCTCTTGGGAGGTGATAATGCAACTAATTTCCTACAAAAAAAAAACCCTGAGGTAGTCTAGTGGTTAGTTACTACTCCGAAAGCTGCTAGTTCAGTTCAGACATATTCAACATTTTCGTTGTTGGTAAAAAAATACCCGATCTAACTACAAAAACATTAATACATAAAAAACCGACTTCAAAAAACCTAAAAATAACCTTTATTAGTACAGATAGGTTACCCACTCACTGAGAGGTTAGAAGTCGGTGTCATAAGTTCTATACAAAATTATTCAAAACCTTAATAGGTAGGTAACTAATTCACAAGTGGCAATTAAGCTATAATATAACATTATGATATGAAATTATGGCACCGACTTCTAACCTATCAGAGGCTGGGTAACCTATCTGTACTAATAATGGTTATTTTTTGCTTTTTAGTTTTGACTTTTTGTTTGTTATTAGTTTTTGGTTTTTTGTAGTCTGTTTTTTTAAAAATTAACAAGATTTTTACATATAGGTGCTCGTTTTGTTACTTATAATCTACATAGATGCAAAGTTCTAATCAATACAAATTATACAAGCCCAAACACAAGGTAGTTACAGTATACCGTTGAGGAGTTCCCTTAACAATTACACTTCCTGATCATCAGACCCTTAATGACAGCCCCATTTTATCTAGGTGTAAAGTCCTCATCAATGCCAATTAATCAAGCCCAAATACATAGTTACTGTATACCGTTGAAGAGTTCCCTTAACAATAACACTTCTTCATCATCAGACCCTTAATGACAGCCCCACTTTATCTAGGTGTAAACTCCTCATCAATACAAATTAATCAAGCCCAAACACAAGGTAGTTAATATAAACCGCTGAGAAGTTCCCTCGACTGTCTGTTGGCTCCATCATCAGGTCGACTCCATACCCTTATCAAATTGTAGTGTTTAAAAATCCTAATTGAAAAACATAACAGACGCATTACTCGCCCATAGAATTTTCGAAAGTTCCCCTCCGTTTCCCTTGGATCCCATCATAAGATCCTGACCTCATAGAAATGGGACCATCTCGGGAGGGATACCCTTTCAAACAAAATAAGAATTTTGGAAATCGGTTCATAAATGGCGGAGTATAGCGCGAACGAACTAAAAAAAAAACAATCAGCCGAACATAGTACCTACCTCCTCCTGTTTTTGAAGTCGGTAAAAAAATACTGGTTTGATTTAAGTTATTTTAGATTTAATTTATTGTCAATATATCAATAAACATTTATTAATACTAATACTTTCAGAAATACCATTCGTTTTAAAATATCAAGTAAATTAGATATTAGTATCAACAGAAAACTAAGTATATTAAAAAAAAAGGAATTACACTCAGCATACAAACTATCAGAAAAACTTCTTTTATTTTAAATTTAATTAAATAAAAATAATAGCCTTTATTCTACCACAATATCTCATGTATTCAAATCAATATTATTGTTTCATTAAATTATTAAGTTACATTTTAATTAATATGATATCATTTCAAATTAACTAAATAAATTAGGTACCAATAAAGTTACTAATAACAATTTCAAATTTAATCATTTTAACTTTAGTTTGGTTTCTTGTTTGTGGAAGTCGCCTCTGTGTAGTAGGCCTCCCCCAGTTTTCACCGTTTAACTCTGTCTCTTTCTTCTTTTCTCCTTCTCCATGTGGTCCCACAAAGCACAATAAAAATATCTTCCCGTCTTCTTTTTGGTCTATCTTTATTTCTTTTCCCATCCCATAGCATCCAATCCATAATCTTTCTGGCCAATCTATTGCATGGCATCTGACACACATGTCCTGCACATTTCAATTATGATTCTTTTCGAATTGTTACATTTCTTACTTTTTCCGATAGTCTTATGCCGAGCATGCTTCTCTCCATTTTTCTTTGGTGTACAGATACCTAGTTTGTTTTCATCTGTCTTACATAGACATGGTCCATGTCAGGCAGGGTAAGTCACTATCTCGTATAGTTCACTTTTTATTTTTATGTCTATATCTGTTTATCATAATGTCCTTAAAACTCTGGAGTTTTAAGTACTGGTACTTTTTCCGTGCCGTTGCCATCCAATGAAATTGATTTGTCTAAAATTTAGATTAGACTCTAAATAGATATATTGTGTTACGTACTCAATGTTTTGTCCCTGCACCCTAACGGTTTGCTTTGTACCTTTGGTTGTACCGGTAGTAAGTATTGTTGTTTTTGTAGCGTTAAGGGATACGCCAACTTTTTGGCTTTTTATTTTAAATAGTTACCCAAAAATATTAAATTTATCCTTACTTATATATATATATATTATTATATATAATATTATAAATCGGAAAGTGAGTTTGTTTGTTTGTTCCGACTTCACGCCGTAACTACTAAACCGATTGCATTGAATTTTTGCAGACGTAAAGTTAGTAGTCTGGATTAAATAATAGGGTACTATACTATTTATCCCGAAAAAATTTGATGTTCCCGATGGAAAACAAAAGTATTGGTATAGATGGCGCTGTGTGTATTGGTATATGTCAGGCTACTTTTTATCCTTTTGTGATGCGAGCGAAGCCGCGGGTAAAAGCTAGTTTATATATAATTCAAAGGTGACTGACTGACTGACATAGTGATCTATCAACGCACAGCCCAAACCAGGACTGAAATTTGGCATCTTATGACGTAAACATGCCCTAAGAAAGGGTTTTGAAAAAAAGGGGATGAAAGTTTGTATGAAACATTACACGGCAGTTTTACACCGATCGCGTTGAAATTCGGCATGCAGGTAGATGTTATGACGTAAGCATCCCCCTAAGAAAGGATTTTGGACATTTGCGCCCCCTAGGGGGGGGGGGGGTAAGATTGTATGCAACTTTGTCATGTTTGAACAATTTTGTAAATAATGTCTTGTTAGTCAAAAACATTATTATTTACAAAATCATCATTATTTACTTCCCTATGATGATGAATACATGCCCTCGCACACGATTCCATATCTCTGTGACGGTCACTCTTGAACTGAATGAGCGTCGTATTTCTTCAGCCGCTTCAATTATCTTTTTGTCCGACGCCCGAAATTCTTACAAATAACTAAAGAATCAAAACCCAAGCCCGCGTTCTTTTTCTGTGCATCATGAAAAATAGTCCCCTCTTATTTATTTAGTAGTTAAAATAGATTTGTCTCTCTCTTTCTTAATCATTTAAGTAGTCAGGGATAAAAACATCATAACACAACATCACGCCTTTTTATCCCCGAAGGGATAGGTATAGGTGCACATTTTGGCTTCTCACTATTTATGTTATGAGTCCCATGTAATAGGGGGTGAGCCTATTGCCATATACCGAGCACATTTCCAGACTCCGTGCTACTACTGAGATTTTTAAAAACTCTAATACTTTGCTCGACCCGGGAATCGAACCTGAGACCCCTTTCTCGTTAGTCGCACTTGCGACCACTCGGCCAACGAGACAGTTTAGGAAAAAAACAATAAATCTTATAAAATTATATTTATTATTACAAGACAATGTGTAATATAAAAACTATTTAATTTACTTACATCTAATTGCCCATTCCACAATATATAAAACTTCAACAATTCAACATTTGAAAATACACAACTGATTAAATATACACATATGATTTTTATTAAATACAATGTCTTGGAATTCTATTTTGCAATAGCCTAGCCTACTTCCATTAGTGACAATAAATTCGTCTGAAATAGAATAAATAATCAAAATATAATTATTTGAACAGTAGGAGAAAAATTGTCTAGTTATGGATCCTTTTTGTGACTGTTTTTTTATTGATATTTTCTTATAACATGCTGACTACATTCTATATACATTAAACCTGCTTTTGTTAGTAAGGATTTCATCCACATGTCTACAATAATTGCAACACTAACGATCACCACTTTATTTTAGGGGTTACTAAATTACGCCCGGTGTTACCTATATAGGATTCGATTATAGTGAATGTACCGAATACAAATAAAATCATAATTGAGCCATTATCAAAAACCAAAACTGTTCTCACATTCTTATATAAATAAAGAGTTTAAACATTTGAAATTGATTTCACACTTTTTAACTGAACACAATATAGGTAGATAGATGCTTTTCCCAAAAATCACGATCAAAGTTTTCCTACAATTATTTTGAATTTCACTCGCTGTCATAATACACCAACGAGCTGTACTTCACTATTTCAGTCATTAAGATTTTAAATCTGTAATTGGTTACATGGATTTTAATACGGACTGAAATAGTAGAATAAAATATAAATTTTAACATGCATAGGTCGACAAACTGGATTTCTTAGCACTTTGTGCTGTTTAAAATGTACATGTTGCTTACACAGTATTAACAAGTTTATTCAGACTCTTCATTAGCTTAGTCGAAATACGACACATCACAATAAGCTGTATGTCTTCAAATATGTATTCCGCACATAAACCATAACGAAAAAGAAACGCAAGTATTAAAAAATTATTAAGGAAGGACCTTTTACGCCTAGAAAATTACTAAATTTTCAAATCATGCTTATAACAAAGATATTGCAAGAAACAAGTTAAATTTGTTATAAGTTAATATTTGTTATATTACAGGTTGGTACATAATTAACTTGTATTTATATAATTCTGTCACAATTATATAATTTTTATACATATTATTTGTAACAATATTCACAACATGGAGAAATGTCCTTATTATTTAGTTATAGTTATGAAATTTTACAATAACTTATTTTGTTCTTTAAACGAAGAAAATATACATAAAAGTAGCATTACATATTGTCTTAGAGTAAATGAACTATATGATTGTCAAATGATATATATCGACATAGACATTTGTACTATTTATTGATTTTATATAAATCTTTAATGTCCTTAGATTCACCTTTACGGCGTCATAAAATAAGGTTTTCGTCAATTTACAGAATTTTCAAAGTCATTAAAAAATTACAATGGACTTAAAATACATTGTGAAAGTAATGTTTATAATTCAATTATTTGCACAGACAATATACACTGTCGATATAAAAGTTTATCATTGGTTTTCATGTTATCTTGTGCTGCCGTTTTTATAGTATGGTAATTAGTAATTAATTGTGCTGGACCATTTATACAAATATTAATTAATTACATAATGTAATAATCACCATAACTTAAACTGAAAAATTGTCTACAGGTTCACAAATTCGCCTATAATTAATGTGTGAAAACTTAACTCCATACGTCAGCAGAATATTTCTTCATAGACTCAAGCTTCTTGATAAATTGTGCAGCTTCAGCTTCTGTGCGTCCACCTTTTAGTTGGATAGTCTTTAAGACAATATTCCTTACGTCAACAGCCATATTCTTAGCGTCCCTGAAAATAATATTGGTTTTTTGATATATTGTCGACTAGCTACTTTACACGATTGAGTACTCTTAACTTTATTTAAAATAAATAATTACCCGCAAATGTAGAAATGTCCATTACGATTACCGATGACATCCCATAAGAGATCCATATCTTTTTCTAGTAAATGTGTTACATACACTTTTTCTTTTTGATCACGAGAGAATGCTAGGTTCAATTTGACATCACCATTTTGCTCGTATTTCTCAAGTTCCTGTGGAAAATGAAAAAAAAAATTACTTAATGTAATTAGCACATACAATATGATACAACACAAAATGAATAACATTAAAATGATATAATACATCACAACATTTTGCTTACCTCTTGATAAATGTAATCCTGGTCGCGATGTCTGCATCCAAAGTATAGAACATTGTCTCCCACTTCTTTGCCATTCGCACGCGCGAAAGCACGCTCTTGCAAGAATCCACGGAAAGGAGCTAATCCTGTACCAGGACCGACCATTATTATGGGGGTTTGACTTTGCAGGGGTAATCTAAAAAAAAATTATTTAATAAAAATATTGTCAACAACTTAATAGTCAGATTATTATGTAAATTATTATAAATATCATAATTATTTTTACCGGAATTGTGATTTTCTGATAAATACGGGTACACGAGGAAGAGGCTTGCCGGGTTCGGGTTTGTTATCTGCTAACCATGTTGTCGTAACACCTTTGTTGACGCGACCCGTAGGTGTTTTATATTGAACAACGACTGCAGTAATATGCACTGTCTCTGGATACATCTAAAACATTAAAATTGTATTTACTAATAAATGCTTTACAAAGACTCATTACACTGGTGTGAATAAAATATTATAAGAAGGTTACCTTAGGACTGGATGAGATGGAGTAGTATCTTGGTTGTAGGCGAGGTAAAAGTTCACACAAGTGGTCCAGTGGAGGTTTACAAGATGGTACATCTTCCAAGATGTGCACAATATTTCTGCAAGCCTCTACAATAAATGATTGGTACATGGCCTTGCCCTCTTGAGAATTAGTTGCCATGAGCATCAATTTCTTTTTGTCCTGTAATTCAAGATAAAAATTAAGAACAAAGTATTCAACAAATATGTATTTTAGGTTTAAAACTTGTGATCAGCACTTACTTCTTCATCTGTACAGTATTCAACCAACTCTCTTAATATGTGAGTACGGGGCAATGCAGTAATCTCAACATAGTGTGATAATGCAGTACGGTAGGAGGTTGGGCAAGGGAAAGGATGCTTTTTGCTGCTTTCCTGGTCAGTGTTGATGAGAGAGAAGATCTCGTCAAGGTTGGCCCCTGTTAATTGTCCTAGACGATCTACAAGGTTAGAGTCATTTATTGGGTACACAGCCACATGATCACCTGAAATCAAAAGTATTATGTTATAAGACAGTTCTTTCTAATTTAACAAATATTTTATCTTCCCCGTGCGAAGGCGCCATGACCATTTTCACTTTGGGTTAAAAAACTATGTCACTGACCTGCTTCATATCGCATTTTGGAGTCTGAAATATCCAATTCGACATGGATACAAGACCTATCTCCACCCTTATGTAATTCTCTATTAACTGTGATTTGAGCAAGGAATGGATTCTTGGCATCATAAGGTCTGGAAAAATAAATTATACATAAATATTTTCACTTTATGTGGAACAATAGTTTTGTTAAATTCAGTAATATGGTTGTTGAACACTTACGGCCTCTGGACTTGTAAGGAGTGTAATCTGGCAATTTCTCCAGTAAATATGTTGTTAGGTTGTATGTCATCAGGTCCGTGAGTAACAAGACGGAACTGACGAATCAACTCTTCTTCACCAGTGCTCTCAATATTGAATTTCTCACATACAGCTGGCCAGAACTTTTCTTTCCAGGTGATAAAGTCATCTTCAATACTGAAAACATTATTAAAAACTTTAGACATAAACATAAAATTTAATATTAAAATATTGTGATTAAATTAATGTGAATGCAAAATTTATCTATTCAAATATTTCTGTGCGCAAAATTGTATCAGATTAAAATTTAAATAATTAAACAATATAAATAAACACAAATGTTTCAATACATACTTAGCGTCATCATCTCCGAGCCCAAGTTCAAAGACTCTTGTAGCGCCAAGTTCTTCAAGACGTTTATCTAGATATATAGCAACCGCATTGTAATGTTCATATGTCTTGTTGCCAAGGCCAAACACCTGAGAAATATTTATTAATACATTAACATTGTGATGTAACATCAATAATAATTGGCTGAAAATTATTTCAATACCTTACCACATAACGTAACTTCCGCATCGTAGGACCTAACAACCTTCTACATCCAAAAATACGAGGAACTTTTATTATAAAATTCATATTTAATTTAGTGGCAACTAAATCTCGCAAAATTTTAATGTTCAATTGTAAAGGATCAATTAATTAAAATACCAAACATTTACTTTCAATTGTAAAATTGTGTTTATATATATAGAAAAAATGTTCGAATTAGCATTATAACATAATACTTATCAGAATCGATTTAGAATCATCAATGTTTCGATCATGTCAATAACATTATTATTTTAACATGTTGTGACATTGTGTTTACATGACTACTAATAAATAAATTATTTTATCATGGTTGCACTTATCATTATACCTTAGAGTAAAAAAAAAACAAAATAATGTCCTTTTATTTTAATTTTAGGTTAACACTGAAATAATATATTTTAATCTATAAATCACAGAAACAACGACTTGTATAATGTTAGAAACGCGTAGTACTCATTTATCTTATTCGTAATCAAATTCTTCATTAATAATATCAATAAAAACACGAACAGACACACTTCCGTGAAATTTTTACGGACTATAATAAATATGACTTTGACATTCTGTCATTCATTCGAACTGAAACTTTTGAAATGTCAACTTTATCTTTTTTATCCCCATATAGCGCTTTTTGGTCGCAGATATGTTAGAGATGTAACAAGTCGCAACAGTTTCGTAATTGTTACGAAACATGGTGACTGTGTGGGGTGTGGTCTCTATGTGTAGTAATAGTTCGTACACAATTTGACCGAAAAACATTTCAGTAAGTTGAAGTAGTCTTTGTGTTCACATGTAACGTAAACATTGTGTAGACTTATTTTTAAACACTTCGTGTTAAGTTTGTAACATGTGTACAATCGAGTAAAAAGTGTGGTAGCGGCGTGGTCACCATGCTACTAGAATAATTACTTAAAATTTAAATTTACACGAAGTGTCGTAATGTTACGTCATTATTACTGAACAATATATTACTGAAATGTGAATTAAAAGTCACTGTTTCTAAAACTGATTCGAGAAGTGGTCAAATGATTGCAGTTGAAAATGAGTAAAGAACCGAAAAGATTCCGTCTCACATCGACTTTCTACAGAAAAGTTAACAAATTATTGGTTCCAAAATATCAATCTCCAAGTAAGTACATAATTTTTGTTTTAAAATTAAATTGTTTGAAATAAAATTTTGGTGGCATGTTAATTAATAACTTTTACTTAAGTTGAGGTCAGCCTTAAAATTCAAAATTAATATTTTTCAGACCATATACCTAATGCAACGTTTTCATCATATAAAATTCAAGAAAATCGTTCTGTAATGCCTGATGCTGTACAGTTTAGTTCCAAACAGCTAGTGCCGGTGGACCAACTTCCGAAGTGTCAAACGTGAAATTAGATGCAGTTGTGACCTCTCATAATATATGTGATGTCAGTGAGGGGCTGGATACCAATAGTTCTGCAGCAGAAATTGAAGAATCGTCTGATTCTGACAGCGAAATACATTCAATAAATGTAAAAGACCAAATTCAGCAATGGGCATTAAGGTACCAGATTCCTCAAAATGCCTTAAAGGAATTACTTACTATATTGAGAGACAATTCAAACATGGATTTAAAAAAAATCTTACCAAAAGACAGTAGAAGTTTATTAAAAACGCCAAAATTTAATAACATAATACCAATGGGAAATGGAAAATATTGGTATAATGGCATAGAGAATTGTTTGAAAGAAGTTTTCTCTCAAATGATCTCAGAGTTACCGACGTGCATATTTTTGTCTTTTCATAGACGCTTGCCAGTAGCCAATAGCACAAAAAATGAATTTTGGCCAATTTTGTGTAAAATAGACGGTATGGATGTTGCTCCATTAGTTATAGCAATATTTTTCGGAAGCACAAAACCGTGTTTGGAATTATTTTTGCGTCCATTTGTAAACGAGCTCATCAAGTTACTTCAAGGTGGATTACTCATTCAAAGGCAAATCGTTCCGATCAGAATTCGTTGCTTCATATGTGACACCCCTGCGAGATGCTTTATAAAAAGGTGAGTGCTAAATTAAATATGGATATACATTTATAAATAATATCTATTTAATAAAACTACCTACACCTACTTACATAATGTTCTTCTGCTGTACACAATAATGCCAAATAACTAAATAAATGAGAAAAGGTAGGTAACTGAGAAAGACAGAGCTACTTTCGCATTTATACTATTAATATGGATTTGGTAATGTAAGTAGTTTACCGTACCTCCGTGCAATTCGAATATAATGTATATTATTTCGTGATATTTTTTCATTTTAGGTACTGTGGGGTTAATAGTTACCACGGATGCATGAAATGTACAGTAATCGGAGAATACGATAGAAAAGGTCGGCATATGAGTTTTCCCAGAACGGACATGGCTTTGCGTACTGACCATTCATTTAGAAATCGATTAGATCCTGATCACCATAAAGAAAAAAGTCCAATCGAAGATTTACCTATAGATCTTGTTAACGATTTTACGATCGCAGATGCTCTTCATTTGTTAGATTTGGGTGTTATGAAGAGATGTTTACTAGGATGGACTAACGGCAGTTTTAATTTCCGAACAAAGTGGTCGGCAAGGGAAATACAGGACGTTTCAAGAAAACTTATGGAAATAAAATCAACTACTCCATCTGAAATACATCAAGGAAGACTGAGAGAATTACCCTTCACTTTTGGAAAGGTGCTGAATTTAAAAACTTCTTGTTATACTTTGGTCCAGTAGTGCTAAAAGAACACTTATCATGTGAAGTATATCAACATTTTTTAACATTGTTCTGTGCCACCACTATTTGTTATTCTGACGTTTATGTATCTTACCGTCACATAGCTGAAAAACTTTTTGTTGACTACATCGAAAAATTCGCAGAAATTTACGGTCATGATTCTGTGAGCAGTAATATTCATAATCTTTGTCATATTGTACATGATGTCTCAAGGTTCGGCTCTCTACCTTCTTTAAGTGCATATCCATTTGAAAGTATGTTGTTTCGAATTAAAAACCTTTTACGAAAAGGCAACCAACCCTTGGCAAGTAGCAAATCGCAACAGGAATTGTCAAAGCTAAACATCAAGGGCCACAAATCCAAACGGATGAATGCTCATGTCAAATATGAAGTTTGTTGGATACGGGTGAAAAAGTATTTACAACTGTAAAAATGAGTGAGAATTACCAGCTTTCAAAATACATTAAAGATAAATGGTTTTTAACTGTCAACAATAATATCGTAGAAATGAAATTTGCAACTTTTGATCAAGGAAACATACAAATCGTTGGAAGGAATATAAAAAACAAATGTAATTTTTTTGAGCGACCATTTAATTCTTCCCATATAAATATTTATGCAACATTACTTCCTTACGAACTTGAAGAATTAAAGAAATACAATCTAAATGATGTGAAATGTAAACTTACATCTATGGTTTCCAACTCTCAAATGGTGTTTATTCCAGTATTGACAACATTTGGAGAGAAAATAAACAAATAAAAAAATATTTGTATTGTAACTTTCGTGAGGCATACTAAATAAATTATTATGTTTTCGGCTTACTCACGTAATTATTTGACGAGGAACTCGACTAGAGCAGCATTTTATGACCGACGCGGCGACTGTCGCGCTGCTACTCGACTCGCTACTCAGTAGCAGCGCGACAGGCGCCGCGCCGCTCATGAATATGAGCCTCTAGCATGGCTTGAAACTAGTCGAGTTCCTCGTCAAATTATTACGTAAGTAAGCCGAAAACATAATAATTTAAATAAAAACAATAAAACCAATAATAATAATATGACTCTCAAACAATCAGATAAATCTTTTTAAAAAATTAACACAAATTATCAAAAATATAAAAAAAAACGTCAATTAAAACTTTTCAAAACAATTACAAACTGTCAGATAAATAGGTACATTTCACCATTTAAACTTTAACTGATCTACTTATAAATTATATCAATAAAATTTTAAACAAATAATTAGTTTAATCACTGTTCGTAATTTTGTTGCACTCCTCATTTTGTTCGAAAACTTGACGTAGATCGTAAGAACTTACATTCATCATTTTAGTCTCATGTTTTGAATCGGTCGTCTTGTTGCTTATTTTTACATCAGAGAGTACTGTCACTGTTTTCGGTGCTTTAATAGAACGATTTTTTTGTCTGGCGTATCATCTGTTGAAATGTACAATGACTAGAGTTAATTTATGTTCATTAAAGATAATTAAATGAAATTAATGGCGTTATTCTCTAAGTAACATACCGATTTTGTTTTCCTTATCATCTAACCCACGAAACCCATCCCGCAATAATTCATTTGCCTCTTCTTCATGAATTTCTTTATCTGGAGTATTTATTATTATAGTTTCTAAATTGTTTGATGAAGGATCCTCATTCTCAGTAGAAGTCTTCTTTTCAATTTCAATTTTGTTTTTTTTTGGGTTGATTATTTTCATTGCAGAGCTAAAAGCAAAACAGGACGTTTTAAAACATTATTTTATGCTGTGTAATTTATAAAGATACCAATATACAGTGTGTAAACCCAGTAGCCACCACTTAAACACTCCTTTGTAGGAGTAACATAATGCAGATGTAAATAAAAAGAAAATAAGTAGTTGTTTGCACTTACGAATTTCGCTTCATGCGCTGGCCACTATGTTTTATCGCACTGTTCTGCAAAAATACGTCAGAATCCTTTGCAGAGCAACACTTATCAGCCAAATGTATAATTTTAAAAAACAGATTTCTTGTTTTGATGAAGTTCATAAAGGGTACTTTAGTACAGCCTTTAATTCCTTTCCAGGTTAACTGGTTAAGGAGTTCGTCGGTGAATAAACATCTTGTTAACTGTAACCCAATCTTTGATATTTTTAACATTCCACTCGTACCGCATATTCTAGAAAATTTTTTGACCTGAAATATTAATAAGAACAAATATTATACCCATTGTAACCGTGATAAATATTTTATAGTATTAAAATAATAATATCTTTACCAAAACTTTTTCGAAATTCGTGTCAATGAGTTGATCTTCTAGTAATTCTAAGTTTTTTATAGAATTAATTGGAAATTGAATGTTCCTCTGAGCTATTTCCTCATCAAAATTTGTTGATACGGAAGTACCAGCAGTACTAATAGTATCAATATAAGATTGTTTATGTTTCAGAATATCATATAATTTGTCCAGTTGTACTTGTAATGCCTTAAAGCCTCTGTCAGTTTCTTCTTTAACTAAAAAATATAATATGTTAATATTTTTTTTCTAAACGCACCCACAAGCAAAAAAAACCGGTGAAGTACGTCGAATGGGATCACTTACGATTTTGGAACTTTAGATTAGATTCTTTGAGAATTTTGTTTTCTGCTTGTAGCCCACTGTTTTCTGTTATGATTTGATTGAATTCAATCAACCTCAAACTGATTAAAGTTTCACCAGTCTGACTCTCAGTTTCGGGTATTGTTGTTAAATTCTCATTCGTTGCTATTATTTTTGAAGCACCAGTTTCAATCGCTACGGTATCATCAATAGTGTTATAACTGGTACTGGCGTGATTGAAATATATATTTGAGTTGTATTCATTCATAGTTGTTTTGTTCATATCGTTCATTGTAACATTATCATTATCTTTTTTAGTTTCTTTATTGTCCATCATTTCAAAATCAATATTATAATTTTGTAAATCTTCCACAATTGACTTTTCAGCCGGATGTTTTCTTTTGTTTGATTTTTATGGTATCTGTAAAATAATAATAATTTAATGATATTTCATGAGATAGCCAAACGAAAAAAAAAAACAGATATGGATATATAATCCTTTACATGTCGCATGGCACTTCATAGGTACATAATAATAACATTTCTATAGTGTCTGCTAAGGGTCCATACACACAGACCGGCTCGGAGAGCTACTTTTGTCATTAAGAATGCTTGAAAGCGCAGTGCACGTACAAAAATAAACCTTAAACCAAATACTTAAAAAGCTGTTTTCAACGAGTTATGAGCTCTTCCAGTCTATACTTCTGAAGTGACGCGCCCCACTACTGCATTGTACGTACACAGGACAGTGGATTTTAAAATGCGGTAGTGGGGCGCGTCACTTCGTCGATTTATTGTCGAATAAAACACGTCGTAAAACTTACCTCTCCTCATTCTTCAGTATCCTCAAAATTTGAATACAGTTCCTCTAATTTAATTCCTTCAGCAAAAGTAGCTATGCCTTGTAGTTTCACGACACATTTTAATTTTCTCCAATTCTCTGAAGGTACACTATTTTCATCTCTCCTTAATAGTTCCAGGTCGCTGTTTTTTCTCGTCCTTGGCCAAAACAGGATAGTATCTTTGTTGTTCCCCAGTACCCATGTACTAGGCACAACCGATATAAGGTGGGACGAGCCCTCTTTAGTTAGTACTATACTAAACATAATTTGATATTATGCAGGCCTGTCCAAACGTTTGAGAATCACTGGAAGCAATAAACCATTTTGTTAATTCGGTAACTTTGTAACTACTTCTGGTTTCACGTCGACATATGTCGACATAGTCTAGTAACTTCCAAACCAGTTGTGTCTAGAATATTTTCTCTAAATAAAATTAGGGTTTTTAATTATTGAACTATTTTGTAGTTCATTTTTGGTTCCATAATATATAGTTACTATTAAATATATTACAGCAAAAGCTTCCAAGCTTTGGGAATGTAAAAACTTGTAAGTAAAACTATTAATAGTTTATAAAAACTATGATGTTTTATCATACTAACAGGTTAAATTACAATTTTATGGTGGCGCATTAAAAATTTCAAACTATATGAACAAATAACATAATGAAATTCATTTCCCATGTAGATTTTAAGTAAATAAGCTAATTAAAATATGAATAAAAACTTACCTTCATAAACAGTGATGGCTGATGTTTTCTTCTTATTATTTTTTAACTTGTCAATAACAGAACATAGACTAGAACGAAAACGAATGAACGAACGAATGATTTCTGAGAAGTGGTTGCAGACTAAGAACAATGTTACCACACAACAACGTAACTTTAAAACCAAATGTTACTGTGTCGACTGTTCCCCATTTTTAGTCGTAGCGACGGAACTAAGTACACTCAGCGACCAAAAAGTGTTACTAGAATGAATAAGTGTGGAAACATAGTGTCGAATTATTTCGTAACGGCTACCAAAAAGCGCTATATGGGTCATAACACATGCCAACCACGATACAGAGTCTTTTTGATAACATTTGTGAGTGGCAACACTATGTTGCCACTCACAAATATTAGGTATTATTATTACGTAGGAAGATGAAGAAATAATTTATATAAATGTACAATAATTGCGTAAATAGCAAATAAAGCTCAATCAGTACATTTTTTAATTATTCTGTGAAACAAACGTCATCAGAAATCGTGAGCAATAAACGTGTATACATACAAGCAAGATGTGAAAGAATGTGTGTATGTGGGAAGGTAATTATGGGTATGTGTATCTTCTTAAAGTAATACTTACGGCATAATTTAAACCAGTTAGGTCCGGTTCTCCGTTCTTTATCCATTCATAAAACTCCATAGAGTTGTCTGTGGGATCTCCTTCACCATATGTTGCCATACAGAACACAGCTAATGAATTCGGTATTTCTTGGAGTTTCATAAGTTCTTCCTAAAAAATAAGAATTAAAATAATTAACAATAAGTATTATTATTCTAATTACCTATACAAATGATTCATAATGTTTTATCAAACAAATTGGTAACATCTTTAAGTTCTTACGAGTTAAATATGTTAGTGAATTCTAATGTAAAAAAGTTGGTTCAACGTTATGTTTTCTTACCATATCACATTCTTCGGGATCAGCAACCATACCCTTCATCTTGTATCGTATGCCCTCCTTGGCAAGACGTCCCGCGAACTCCTCACCAGTACCCGTTTGAGACCCATAGAATACAACTAAACTTCTTCCAGATGACTTTAGTTTGTTTATAAAAGAATTTTCAGTAACTTGAATGGATCCCGCAGCCCTGTAGACAAAAAATGATATCAGTCACAAATACTTTATCTACCTACATTATTATAATTGTCTTTCTATTAAAACTGGCTATTTTGCTTACTTGCTGACAGAAAATACAGCCAGTCGTTTGGTATGTAGGTACGAAAATAAGGACTGATTCAGTGTAGAAACAGTAACCATTGCTTGGTTATCGAGCCGACTTTGGATGGATATAACTACAATGATCAATAATATCTAATAAAATATTTGATACGCACCAATTTGAAGGAAGTCAATACCAATTTTATGCACTAAGAAACATCATTTTCTGTAATCATATTGATTGATTGATGTGAATTCAATGAAACATGAATATTAATGACCTACATAGCACCTCCACATGAATTGGTTTGGTTGATGTCATTTACGATCCAGAAAATTAACGTAGGTACCAACAATAAAAAGATTCGTATAGAATTATTGCCTACTTGGATGTTTTGGATTGGATTGGATATTTTACAGATATCCCGGTATTAGCATACTTGTTACAGCGCACCAAAGATGTACCTACATTAATTAATGTGTAATATCACAGTATCGACATAAAAATAAGCCTCCAGACACATTAGCATGATTTAATTGCTGTTTATATCATCGTACTCTGACATTTGAGGAACAACAATCTGTATTGTATTCGTGATGATAAGTGCGCATTTTATGTCCACTTCCTTCTATCTCTTATCACACGTAAGTATAGAGATAAATGTTTATAAGCTGTACAGAGATAGGGTACGCATTATATAAGTTTGAGTCACTAACAATATAAAATTACACAATACCGAAAAATATTTTACGCGCTCTATTTTATATATGACTACTTACGATAGTTTGATTCATTTTTTTAATCTTACGTAATTTTACTTGACTAAAATTATGACCATTAGAAAAAACATTAATTACTGACGATTTATGACGACTAACACCTATTTACTGTTATATAGCGTTATTTGCAACATTGTGAACAATTCTGATAATTCTTGATTGAGCTCCAATTTAGAGGGTTATCAGGTTATGGTCTTATGGGTCATGGTCAAAACAGGTTTAGTCAGTAGTAAACCTTGTACCTTGATCACAGAACATGTCTATGAGTTGGAAACGTTTCTACGTCTAACCTCTATCAATTATTTAGCATATGAATTATGTTGCTCTTGAATGATAAACGCGGTATGGTAACGTTACCGTCAGCCACTGTCTGTGGACAGAAATATACCCACGTGTATAGATACGTGGGTATATATCTCAACAAAATGATGATGGGTATTAACAGTGCTCTATTATAATCTATCGGCGGAACATTGATAAGTCATAACTACTTACATAATATTTGTCATATTATCATTTGTAAAAGTAAGTACTGAATTTTTCGTACGTTTGGCACAGGTTAAAACTGCAGTTAAAATATGCACACAGTACTTTTTTTATAATGCAACACTGTAAAGATAGATATTGCTATCTTTTCCTACATGGAAATGCAAATATGCCTGAGTTTAATCTGTTGCTCAGGTATTTAAGTATACATAGCAGCAGTATAATTAGAAGTACATACAAATCACATATTTATTCTGAGTGAGTATGGAATTATTAAGTGGTACGTGGCGTGATCGGTTTGGTAGACAGCTTACAATTCATCAAGACCTATTATAGATCCAGTAATATGCTCCCTCCTGGTCTAATTAAAATAAATGATTTTGTCTTTGACTTTGAATATATTCCTTCTTTACTTAACTCTTTACGCTAAAACTTCTTCAACCTTCTTTTAATTTTGCAATAATAAGTAATAGTTATGTTTACATTTATTTGCGAGTACGAATAAAGTCATAGGCACAATCTAGCAGGCAAAAGCTATTTTCAGACATTTTGATATTGTAACATTTAATTTTGTAACTTTTTGAAGCAGTAATTTAAGTTTACAACCAAATTACATACAGCGTATCTGCACGTTCATTTGACATTGACAGAATTTCCGCAGCGGGTGAGTAGTCATTTAAGTTGCCTACTTATTTACTTACTTAACTGGCGGTGCAGTCTAGTTAACTGTGCCAACATTTACATGAACCTTCTATTCACGATTACAAATGAAATAGAATCAGTTGGTCTGTGAGCTTGAGAATTTTACATATTACCAAAATTAAGCTGCTATATAAAGTCCTGGTACCTGATGCTGGACGATCTAGTAGGTAGTTATGCTACACTAAAAAACCTAAAATTACCATATATTTACTCAAGAACCCTATATTGTAAGTTTTAAATACATAATAGTCATCTAAGTACTTTATCCAGTATCTACATTATAAATAATACGTTTATTAATTAACATAGAAACTTATAAATATGCAAAACAATACAGAAATCCTATTCAATACCAAAATTTGATAATGAATTCTACGAACCTATTTTGTTAATATGAAATACTATTAACTATAAGTATTCATGTTACAACATGTGGCAATAGGTGGTAGATTACCTAGGACAAATGACAAAAGAGTAGAACAATCACAATACAAACAGAACTTTGCCGATAAGATAGGAATGACCTATCGAATGAAGTCCATCATGATGAAATAGGTACTTAATGTTACTAATTAAAAGAATTACTATCGAGGATCGACTGAAAATTAAGTAAGGACTCGAAATCCCAGTCAAATCGCTTTCCTCGCATTTTTTTATGTACCTAAGTACCTAGCAGGTAAAACAATTTGAGCTGTAATTTTACTATATTAGTGTTTATTACTACCTAGCTCCGTTGTTGTATGTTCATTCTCGTGACCGTACATAGTAACATTTATTGTTTACATAGTTTATTTAAGTGTAGTACTCGTATTTATATTTCAGTGTTTTTGCCATGTCACGCTACGTGACCACTTTTGAGAGATTATCGAATTTCACCAAGTAGGTACCTCTAACTTATTATTACAGATTCTATTGTATGCAAACCAAATAAAAAATATGTAATTCATTCAACCTCTATATACACACAGGGTATTTCGTAATTGCAAAGTTTTCGTATGTATTTATCATTAACATTATCATAATGTGTGTGTGTACGTGATACATACGTGCCAAGAATTTTTATCTGGTGTCGCTTTGATTTCTTTCCGATTATAATTATTATATAATCCTACTAATGAGGTAAATCCAAGCGTTTGATACCGGATTTGTGGCCTCAAGAGAACTTGAATATGTATTTTTTACAAAACAAAAAAATATTAAAGTGTGTAGATACAGGTAGATACATAAAGCACACATAATTGGTAGATATACAAAAAGGTGAGGAGAATAGATTAAGTAACGGCGACAGCGATGGTCAATCTCGTTCATGTATATAATATAATTTTTACTAGTCCGTTAATGTTGTTAATGGTAATGTTTATTTCATATAACATTCGCACGTAATCCGTAAATACCTAGCATTGTTACCAGCGTAAAAAAAGATAACGAATTAGTATCTTGAATATTTAATACCTACCTACTTGAAAGTAATATTATGTAACAGTTAATTGAGTTTCACAAATAATAACCAACGTTAAAACTTTCATTTTATTTGCACGTAGTAACAAGTAACACTTACATAAAAATATTTTGATGTTAACGGTGCTAAATAAAACCGTTTAATAAAAAGGTAATTGATGTTAGGTCTAACATATAGGCTTTCCCAATAAAATTGTAATACGGTAAATAAGAAAACTGGTAAAAATTGACTGAATTATATTAAAAAGCGTGCAGTTAGTGTGTAAGTTAGGTATTAGTTTGTGAATTCTCATTACAATGTCTTAATTATTAGTACTTACGTCTTAATTAAACGCGGAAATGTAATTTAATTTTATTGTGTTTGAAGTTACAATAGCATAGCAAAATCAACATTAGAAGTATGACTACTAGAGTAACTACAGTTCTTTAAAAAAATAATTCTAATTATTTTATTTACCCAAAATGGCAAATTGCTACTGGTGTTATAAAAGTAGAATATCTTATATTTATTATCTACAATTTTATCTACGCAGTTACTGCCTACGTAATGAGAGCTTATCACAATTACAATACAACAAAATGTTACAATAAGTTAAGTACTTAGGTACAACCCATACAATACACAAATTATAAATATGAAAATAATTTTGTTTGTTTATTTATTATCTCTTTACGCTTTATCCAATCAAAAACAAACGTTTTGAAATTTTATATTTGGATAAAGCCAGTAAGCTGAAATATATCCATATGCTACATTTTTTCTTTGACCACGCGATTGATTTTGTAGGCGGAAAGTGAATATTTCAGTAATACTTATTATAAATGCGAAAGTTTGTGATGATGTGTGTTTGTTACTCTTTCAAGTCAAAACATTAAACAGCTAAAGGGATCGGGATGAAATTTGGAACAAGGGTCGATTATAGTTTAGAATAACATATAGGGTGAATTTATTTTTATCCCACGGTAACGCTAGTGAAGCTAGTTTATTACATAAATCTGTACGTATACACACGTTCCTATATAATCGTGCTCAGCTGCTAATGTGCCATGTGCGAGTGATATAGACTTGTTATTCAATTCACTCTGTTCACTATTAGTTAATTGAAGATCTGAGTGTTTGCATCATCATCAATTTAAAACAAATTGAAGTAACGCCCAAAGTTCTATGATGTTGCACTTAAGAGTAAAGAAGCGTTCTTTTTTATGTCGATTAAATAAAAACCGGCCTTCGAATGTTTGAAGATAAAACTTGTACCTAACTAAATGACGTCATATAAGGAACCTGCATAACTACTATGGCATTGTTACCAACATGTGCCTACATACCGAAGTATAAAAATAGATTCATTGACGGCACATTATGTCATGTCATATTGTACTAATTTTACGACATGATTTGAATTTATGTAGGTAACCATTGTCACAATTATTATGATCAACTAAAAATTCTTGGACTTTTACAAGACTCTATAAAAAGATATAATCTTATAAGCATCTATGTAT